AAGGCCCAGAACACCATCCAGGTGAGGGCAGGACCCACGGGAGGCCAGGGCGGTGTGGGGTTGGCTGGAGGCGGGGTGGGGGGGGGATCCAGTGCGGATGGTGACTGTCCTTAACCAAGCAAGACATTCTGTGAATGCCAGACGCTCATGGACAGCCCACTACTGCACACGCTGGGGTACACACATCCACAAACCCAACCTGTGTGTACACACATACGGGTTATTATTTTTGCGGTACTGGGGTTGGAACTCAGGGCCTTATGCTAGCTAGGAAGATAACACTGCATTGGCCCAGTTTTGTATTGGGTCTTTTCGAGATATTCTTGAGAACTCTTTGCCCAGGCTGGCTTTGAACCAGGATCCTCCTGATGTCTGCGTCCTGCGTAGCTGGGATTGCAGGTGTGAGCCACCAGCACACGGGTTATGATGGCAGTAGAATGAAGCAGTGAAGAACCTGGGCGGGGCATGGTGGGGCACACCTGTAGTTCCAGCAACTCAGAGTCTGAGGCAGGACTTAGAGGCCAGCCTGGGCCAGACAGCAAGACCCTGTCTTTTAAAAAAAAAAAAAAACAAAAAACTTGGGCTGCAAGTGTTCAGACCCGTCACTGCCACTTTTGCTGTGTGTCCTCAGGCCGGTGACTTCTGTCTCTAGGTGAAAATGGAGTCTGAGGTTGTAAAGGAGCCCCAGTGGTAAAAGTAAAGCTCAAAGAAGTGGCAGGGGCCCAGCAGAAATATCACGTGGCTGGGTGAGGGGGCGCACATGTAATCCCAGCTCTCCCCAGGCTGAGGCCAGGCTACCAGACCAGTGCCAGGTCAGCCTGGGCCCAAAAGTAAGACCCTGGCTCAAAAAACAAAAACGAGCCAGGCAGAGATCAGGACTGAGATCGAAAGCTAGCCCCGGGCAAACAGTCTTGAAAACACTCAATAGAGAAAAGGGCTGGTGGAGTGGCTTAAGCGGTAGAGCACCTGTCTAGAAGTGTGACCTGAGTTCAAACCCCAGTACCACCAAAGAAATAATTAACATTAAGATTTCAGGGCTGGTGAGGACCAGGGTCTGAGTCCTTCTCGTAGTCCTGTGGTCCCATGGCTCAGTTGCTCTGTCATCCGCCACCCCCAGAAACTCATTGAGGCCCTGGACGAGCTGCTGGAAGCCCCTGGGGACTTAGAGAGCATGGACCTGTCTGCCCGTCACCTCGTGGGCACCCAGTTGCTTCTGGACTTTGAAAACGTCCTGAGGACCTTGGCTGAGTCACTGCCTGACGGTCCCTTCACCTACCGTTCTCCTTTGAACACAGGTAAGGTTTTGTCCTGCCCTGCCAGTCCCAGGTCATGTTTTGTACACAGTGTCCCCAGTCACTATTCCTGTCCCCTCAGAATTGGCTCTGATGATCAAGGACCAGGGGGAAAAAGACGCTGTCACAGTGTGCCACAGCCAGGCACGGATGGAGCTGAACTGGACAATCACAAGTGTAAAGGAACATTCAGAAAATGGTAGGGGTCCGCAGAGGGAGCCCCGTGTCAGAGAGGAGGAGGAAGTGGGGTGAGGCCAGGGTGAGGAACAGAATATGGAACAAGAAGAAAGTGAGCTATCTGGAGAGCTCCAGCCATCATGGCGGGCTGGGTGACCTCAACTGAGATGTCTTATATGGAACGCAGGGACACAGAAAAAGGGAGAAGATGGACGCTGGTGGCTCACCCCTGTAATCCCAGCTGCTTGGGAGGCTGAGGTCAGGAGGATTAAGGTTTGAGGCTAGTGCCGGTCCTAGCTACTTGGGAGGCTGAGATGGGTAGGATATTGGTTCGAGGCCAGCCCAGGCAAATATTTCTCAAGACCTCCGTCTCCAAAATAACCAAAGCGAAAGGGACTGGAGATGTGGCTCAATCAGTAGAGCAACTGCTTTGCAAGCACAAAGCCCTGAGTTCAAACCGCAGTCCCACCAAAACAAAACAAAACAAAAAGGGAGGAGAGGGCAGGAAGAGGCAAGCCAGCATGTCTGTCCCCAGGCCGCACTGTGGCAGGGATCCTGTCCAGCCCACAGATGAAGAAATTGCTAGCCAATGCCTCCTTGGACCTGGACGGGAGACAAGCCATGGTGGAAGAAACCTATGAAAGTCCCCTCCTCGACACAGAGCTCAGGTTCCTCTCGAACGTGAATTCTGTCTTTCTGACCAACACAAACACGAAGAAACTCACCTCTCCAATCACCTTCAATTTTTCCTATCTTGTGAGTCCCCGGGTGGGAAGGGAGAAATGGGCCCTGCCTTTCACTCCATAGCCAAAGTCAAGGTGACCCTCCTGGCCTTCATCTCCCCACCTTCACCCATTCTGCTCCTCTTTCAAACACACCTCAGGACCTTTGCACCTGCTCTGCCCCTGCCTGGGGCTCATGGAAGGTGCTGAGGAAATACTTGTCCAGTTTGAAAAGCAGCCTGACAGTGGACCCATGACTGGGCTCCAGACCAGCTTCTCTGATCACTCCTGTGTGCTCATAGCTGGAGAAGCCGGGGCCAAGGGAGGAGCTCATCTGTGCCTTCTGGAAAGGGGACAACACAAGCGGGCGGTGGTCCACCACAGGCTGTGAGCTACTGGACAAGAGGAATGGCACTGCCACCTGCAGATGTCACCACTTGAGCAGTTTTGCCATCCTCATGGCCCACTACCACATCCAGGTGAGCATCCAGGACCACTCTCAAAAGCCCACAGGTGGTGAGGTAACAAGGCAGCTCCTCCTCCACGGTGTGCCCCAACTGCTTGTTCAAATGTCCCATGCCACATCCCCCAGCCCCTTCCTGGGGGATCTCTCCATGGCCCTGTACGGAATGGGCACAGTCTGGCACTGCCACCCTCAGTGTCCCTCTGCCTGTCCAGCTGGCACCAGAGATGAAATATTCTTTAAAACTCATTGCTCGTGAGCACATGTGGCCTTGGGGACTCTAGCCAGGCAGAGCGGAGCGTGTACCCCAAGTCCAGGGCCAGCAAGCGCAGAGGCCTGGGAAGCGCGCCCCACCCCAGGAGGGCTGGCCCGGTGTGCAAGCGCGGACGGTCACAGCGTTGGCCCATCCTGCTCCTAGGACCCGAGGTTGGCCCTGATCACCAAGGTGGGGCTGTCGCTGTCGCTCATCTGCCTGCTTCTGTGCATCCTCACCTTCCTGCTGGTGCGACCCATCCAGAGTTCGCGCACCACGGTGCACCTGCACCTGTGCATCTGCCTCTTCGTGGGCTCCGCCATCTTCCTGGCGGGCATCGAGAACGACGGGGGCGGCCAGGTGAGGCCCCGCCCCCTCCGCCCCGCAGCGCGGGGCCCCGCCCATCCCCGGCCCTCATTGGGGAGGACGCGGGCAGCCCCGCCCCCGCCCGGGATCCGGCTCCGCCCCCCGCAGTGAGGGTGTATATGAGGAAGCGGCGGAGGCGCCTGGCCCCGCCCACCCCGACGCAGCCCCGCCCCTCCGCCTCTTCCGCAGGTGGGGCTGCGCTGCCGCCTGGTGGCCGGGCTGCTGCACTACTGGTTCCTGGCCGCCTTCTTCTGGATGAGCCTGGAGGGGCTGGAGCTGTACTTCCTGGTGGTGCGCGTGTTCCAGGGCCAGGGTCTGCGCACGCGCTGGCTCTGCCTCATCGGCTACGGCGCGCCCCTGCTCATCGTGGCCGTGTCGGCGGCCGTCTACGGCCAGGGCTACGGCCGCCCCACCTAGTGAGTAGGCGAGGGCGGGGAGGGGTGCGCGGCCGCCGCTGCCTGCTCCGCTCGGCACTGATGGGCGCCCCTCCTCTCCCAGCTGCTGGTTGAGCCAGGACGGTTTCCTCTGGAGCTTCCTGGGACCCCTGGCCGCCGTCATCTTGGTAAGGGAGCCTGGGCGCGCGGCCCCTCCCCGGGCCTCCCCGCCCGACGCCCCCTGACGCCGCCCCTTGCTCCCGCCCAGGGCAACGCCGTCATCTTCGTGGTCACCGTGTGGAAGCTCACGCAGAAGTTCTCTGAAATCAACCCCGACATGAAGAAGTTACGGAGGGCCAGGTGCGCGGGGCGCGCGGGCTGCGGGAGGGCTGGGGTGGGCGCGCGGAAGCCCCGGCTGCAGCTGCCGTCCTCCGCAGGGTGCTGACCATCACGGCCATCGCCCAGCTCTTCGTGCTGGGCAGCACCTGGGTCTTTGGCCTGTTCCTGTTCGACCCGCACAGCCAGGTGCTGTCCTACACCTTCACCATCCTCAACTGCCTGCAGGGCCTCTTCCTTTTCGTGCTGCTCTGCCTGCTCAACAAGAAGGTGGGCGGGGCGCCGGGGCCACGGGCGGGGCCGCGGGGCGGTGGGGGGGGCGGCCCCTCCCCTGATCTGGTCCCCGGCCACAGGTGAGGGAGGAGTACCGGAAGTGGGCCTGCATGGTGGCCGGGGACAAGTACTCGGAGTTCAGCTCTTCCAGCTCTTCCACCACGGGCGCCAGCCACAGTCAGACCCGGGTAAGGGGCCGACTTGGGCCAGGGCGGGCGCTGGCCGGGATGGGGTGCCTGGGTACCTCACGGTGACTTTTTTCCCCCCGCAGGCCCTCAGACCCTCAGAGTCAGGGATGTGAAGCCAGGCTGGCCAGGGCAGCAGCTCGCCTCAGTCACCCTGCTCTGGCACCCTCCCGCTTGGGCACCAGGTGCAAGAGAGGGGCACAGCTGGACAGACCCCAGGAGAGCACAGTGGGCAGTGTCCCGGCCCAGGGACCAAAGCTGGCCAAGGTCTACGGCTGGCCTGGGGATAGACTGCTTCTCCTCTCCCCTCACGTTCGTCACACCCAGGAGGCCCGGCATGTCTGGCTGGCTCCCTGTTAAGCTAAGACTGATGTATCACGGTACAGAGGCCGCTGCCCGTGCAGGCAGAGGGGTCTCCCTGTGTGGAAGGTTGTGGATGTTGTGTTTGTTCTTTTTTAATCTGTCTAGACCTTTCTATGTTGACATTAACATTAAATATCACTGAGAGGAGATGGAGTTACTCATGTCCACGACGGAGAACCAGGACAAAGACAGGGCGGGAGCCAGGTTTCCATAGTAAAAATTTATTCTCGCACAAATCCGCAGCCTTGGGACACTAGAAAGAGCCCCATCTGTAGCCAAGGAGAATAAACAGCACTGGGAGCAGGGCATGGCCTTTGGGCGTGGTTACCGGCTCTGCTCGACTGTGGAGGCAAATGGAAGGTGGTGGGTGAGAGGTGGAGACGGGTCCTGAGTCCTGCCCAGGCAGCTGTTCCCAGCACCCCGATACCCCTACTTACTGTACGTGGAGATGTCAATTTCCTCTGGAAGCTCTGCCACGTTCACCTCAAAGCGGTCCTGGACGTCATTAAGGATTTTGGCATCGTTCTCATCAGACACAAACGTGATGGCCAGGCCTTTGGTGCCAAAGCGGCCGGCACGGGCCACCTGCAGAGACAGGCCTGTGTCAGGGCTGAGGGTGGCTGGGTCGGGCACCCTCCCAGGGAGGGACACTCACTCGGTGGAGGTAGGTATCCGAGTCCTCTGGCATGTCATAGTTGAAGACGATGTTGACGCGTTCAATGTCCATCCCTCGGCCAAACAGATTGGTGGCCACCAGGATCCGCCGCTGGAAGTCCTTGAACTGCTGGTAGCGCGACAGGCTGGTGCAGAGCAAGTGAGGCGTGAGCCATGGTCCCGGCTGCGCTACTCCCTCTGCCGCCAGGTGGACGCCGCACTCACCGCTCCTCCTGGGCCATGCCGCGGTGGATGGCGATGGCCGGGAAGTTCTGCTCCACTAGGAGCTGGGCCAGGGCCATGCAGCGCTGCACCGACTTGACGAAGATCACCACCTGTGCTGTGCAGGGCACCAGTCAGGCCGGGGCCGTGCCGCCCCAGACCCAGAGCCCGAGCTGCAGCAGAACGTCACCTGGTTAAACTCCAGCACATCCAGGAGGTCGAAGAGCTTTCGGTTCTTTTCGCTGTCCTTGAGCTTGACGTAGTACTGCTGCAGCCCATGCAGCGTGAGCTTGGTCTCGTCGTCCACAAACACCTCCATGGGCTGTGTGGGGAGGGGAAGCAGGAAGGGGCGAGCAGGGCTCACTTCTGGGCGTCTCGCCTGCCCAGCACCTTCAGAGTGGCGCCTTGGTGGCGATGCTTCCCAGAGGGCATGCTGTACCCGACCTCAGGAAACAATCCGCCACCAGAAGCTGGATGCAAGCTCTGCTCTGGCACAGGTGTGGACCCCGCTGGCTCCCAGATGGCCAACGCAGGGGAAAGAAGGAAGCGCCGCCAGCCTCCCAGCATCCTGAGGGCCATGTGACTGTCGTGGAGCGGCCCCGGCCCTGGGAGGGCCACAGCTGCTGTGCTGAGGTCTCGGCCACCTCGGGTGGGTGGGCCGGGGCGTCACCCTACTCACATCCTGCATGAACTTCCTGCAGACCGGCCGGATCTCCTTGCTCAGGGTGGCACTAAACATCATGCACTGCTTCTCGTGGGGTGTCAGGCGGAAGATCTCCTGCACGTCCCGCCGCATGTCTGCAAAGCAGGGCAAGAAGCAGGTAGGCATGGGTGTCTGCCAGACCTGCACCCTTCCCAACCTGTGCCAGGGGGTGGCGTGGCGGAGGGCGGGAGGGGCAAGTTCCAGGTGCTAAGGGGCCGCCTTGGGCAGGTGAGCAGGCACAGGCGCAGGAAGAGCTGAGGTCCACTTACACGCTGCCAGCGCAGAGCAGCCGTGCCAGTGCACCTGGAGCCACACTTCGGGGCAGGGAGCCTGAGGCAGAGACCACCACATGAGAGCTGCAGCTGCTCCCAGGGACCACCCCTCCTCCAGCCCACAGAGGGGCAGCAGCTCCGGGGCCCCTGTGGTCCCCTGAAGCAGGGCTCAGAAGCATCACTAGGACCTTCCCGCCATCCCTTTTGGAGACCTGTTCTGGCCACCCACCTGACCCACTCAGGGAGACTAAGGAAAGTCGGAGTGTGCAGGGGAAGCACGGCAGGGTAGACCAGTAGGGATACTCACCCAGCTGCTCTAGCATCTTGTCACACTCGTCGAGCACAAAGTGCTTCACGTTCTTCAGGTTGAGGCTCCGATTCCGCACGAGCGCCAGGATGCGGCCCGGGGTGCCCACCACAACGTGGGGACAGTTCTTCTTCAACACTTCTTCGTCCTTCTTGATAGACAGGCCCCCAAAGAACACCGACACCTATAGGCACAGCAGGGAAGCTGCTTCCACCCTTTTGGGGGCTGTGGTCTTGTACCCCACAGCACATTACCCCAGCCCATGGTGGACCTGATGGCACCAGCCCCAGCAGCCCCAAGGTCCCCAATTCCTAAGCCCTGGTCCCTCAGAACCCTGGCACCAATGAAAGGCAGTCCCGGCTGGGACTGGTGCAGGCCCCAGGGGCCATGCATAATTCATCAGGCTTTTAGGAGCGTAAACCACCACAAACCTCAAAGGCAGCACAGCAGCCAAGTCTGGTAAATGCTGCTGGGCCAGGACTGAGTCCAAGGCTGCTGGGGCTGCAGAGGCTGGGGGTGGCCAGCAGCCACTCCAAGACTCACCTTGACACTGGGCATGTACTTGGAGAAGCGCTCGTACTCCTTGCTGATCTGGAAGGCCAGCTCCCTCGTGTGGCACATGACCAGGACCATCACCTGGAGCGGGCGGGAGAGGGTCACTGAGGGCGGGGTCCTAAGTCCCCCTGGAGTCCACACTGATGCCCTTCAGTTGCCAACCCCCTCACTACTCCCACTCAGTCCCCACCCAAAGACAACTGCCACATGCTGCCTACTGTGCATGCCCTGTATTTCCTGGCCCTTTACCTAGCGGTTGCTCTGGCCCTGCAGGGGGCAGGACAGAGACCAGTCACCCTGGCCCCTGCCCCACCTTCCTGCCTCCAGTGCTGCACACTGGGACCACAGCACGACCTTCCACTAAGTCCTCACCCCTTATGACTTACCCACAGCACAGGGCCTGTGCACACACGGGGTGTAACCCCAGCATGACTTTTGGGTCTCATTTATTTTTTGCAGTGCCCAGGGCCTCACTTGCTAGGCAACTATACCCAGCCCAGTAGCTTGACTTGGTGAGACGGGTTCTCTATGCATGTACTTCCCTCTGCCCTCCCATTCAACCTTCCTGCCTCAGCCTCCCCAGTGCAGGGATCACAGGTAGGCATCACCATGCCCAGCTCTCACATTAATTCTTAAGAGGAAAACAGAAGCCACCTAAGCTCTCCCCTGAGAAAGCAGAGTACAAAAATGGTGACCTCAGCAGGCTGTGACCCATCAGCATTGATGGGCTGCATCGATGGGCTGTGGTGACCTATACCTTCCTAGGTGGCCCAGACACATGGGAGCAGCGTAACATTCCTGGGTGTGAACTGTGGGTGCGTCTCAGGCGTCAGTCTTGTTCCAAGTAGAAGCTTGGCTTAGTGGGGCAGTGAGGGCAGGGCGGGGCGGCAGTGGGGACACACACCTGGCCGTGGGCGGGCTCGATCTGCTGCAGGGTGGCCAGCACGAACACAGCGGTCTTGCCCATCCCGGACTTGGCCTGGCACAGCACGTCCATGCCCAGGATGGCCTGGGGGATGCACTCATGCTGCACTGAGGGGAGAGGGCGCGGGAGGGGGGGCCTGAGGGCAGGCAGGACCAAGGCCACGCCCTCCACCCGCATGCACGCAGGCCATACCCTCCGATGGGTGCTCGAAGCCGCAGTCCACAATGGCCCTGAGCAGCTCCGGCTTCAGCAGGAAGTCCCGGAAGCCCGAGCTGTGGATGGACACATAGGACCCCTTGATGTCTTTCTTGGGGGCAGCTGGGGTGCTCTCCTGGGGAGCCTGGGGCTCTTCATCCTCCTCGTAATCCAAAAGCTCGTTCTCCACGTCCTGCTCAGCCATGGCCCTGAGAACAGGAGACAGGAAGCCAGGGCGGGGCTGAGGGGCAACAGAAGGCAGCAAGTGGCTGGGCGGGGCTCAAGGCTTCTGGGATCCACTGCCAACACCTGCTTCAGTGCTGTCCCTCATCCCCAGCTTGCTCACCCCGCACCCTTTCAGTCTCTCAGGTCATGACAATGGAAGCCCAATTCCAAACCAGCTCAGGGTGCAGCTCAGCGGCAGAGCTGAGCACCGATCCTGCACCACAGCCCTCAGCGTCCTGCCTACCTGGTGCTATGCACCCCTGCCTGGTTCAGCTGCTCACACTCTCGGGAGCCCCCATCCCAAGCCTTTGAGCCCCGGTGCCACCCCAGGGATGCCCTGCTTCTGGGACTGCACAAATGTGTCCTCCTTTTCCAAGCTCAGCCCTGATGAACCTCTGTGGATCACAAGACGAAAGAACTCCCTTCCCCAGGCCTCCCCAGGAGCCCCCCAGGCCTGCATGGAGCAGGACCCAGAGGCCTGTGGGTGTGGCTGCCTGCCAGGTACCCAAAGGAAGTGAAGAAGAGAGGGAGCAGCAGTGCCTGACCACCTCAGCTCCCCTGGTATTTGTGGTCTACACAGGGGAATAATTAAGTGCCTCAGAAAAGGGCTCCCACAGGGCCCAAGTCAATAAAAACTAAAGCAAAGCCAGTAAATGGATAGCTGGATGAGGTGCCTTATGCATGTAATCCCAGCTACTAGGGAGGCAGAGAGCTGGAGAATCATGTTCTAGGTCAGCCAGAGCAGAAACTTCTCCAGACCCCATCTCAATCAATAAGCAGGGCATGGTGGTACATGCCTGTCATCCCAGCTATGTGGGAGACATAAACAGGAAGACTGAGATTCCAGGCAAAAAGTGAGACCAAAAAAAGGCAAAAGGGCTGTGGGAAGCAGGGATGCCTTAAACGGTAGAGCACCTGCCTAGCAAGCACAAGGCCCTGAGTTCGAGCCCCAGTACTGCCTGCCAAAAAGAACAGGACTTCACTTGTGAGCACACTGTCTTCTGCCTCCAGCCTAGGGCTGATGCAGCTTTTCCTTGTCACTCATGGCCTCTGTCACTCTCCCGCCCCATGGTTTTAACCATTTCTATGCTGATGCCCCCTACTTACAACTC